ACAGACTACCACTCCGACATGGTGTGCTTGCTTTTTTGTTTCATTACTTTTTACTCGAGGCATCATCCGTCTGATCATGTTCACAGACGGCTGAGATCTCATGTTCGTCCTGCAATCAACTTGAGCCTTTGATACCTATACTAGGGCCAACAATATGCAGGCAGGTTTTGTTCGTTTTTTTCTTTTATCTTTTCTTTTTTCCTTCTAATTTTTAACTTTCATGAACTTTTTTCATATTCTAAATCGTCAACTTCTAAAAATTAGTGAACCTTTTAATTGCATGAACTTTTAGGTTGTGAACTATTTTTAAACTAGCTAACTTACCTTCAAACATTTTTAACTTTTTTCAAATTTCATCAGCTGAGTTTTTTTGAATTCGTGAACTTTAAAAACAATTGATGAACTTTTTTAAATTGTGTGAACTTTTTCCCCAAAATCAATGAACTTCTTCAAATTCATGCTTTTAAAAAAAAATTCTCAAATTTTATAAACTACTATCACACTCGTAGGGCGACTGAGTGGTCCAGCAGAACTGGCATGGGGGTTGATAAGCCCATGCCACAAGACGACTAAAATTGTCCATGTCGGTATCTCGCTAGGCGACCGACGGGTCCCACAAAAATGGCCTGGAGGCTGTTAAGCCGGCGTCGCAGAAGGGCCAAATTATTTCCAAGCCGGCATCTCGCAGGTCGACCAACGAGTCCTGCAGATCTGACTTGAGTTGTACTGTGTTGTAATTATGCTAAGGAATGTTTTTTGTCATACAGTTCGGCATCTTTCCTTCCGAGCTGCATCTCAGCGATGGTGAAACGCAAACGTCGTCATTCGGTTGAGCAAGTTCCCGAGGAGATACGATCCTATGGTCAACCATGTTGCCCAACCTAAATCTCGGAGGCTATTTCACTGAAGATTCAGTGAATGAATTCAACGTGCAATACGGTTCTCGTGGAGATTATGATTCTCGGGTGAATGCTGCAATCCTCACGCGAATTTGGTGAATTGACCTGAGTTTTGGGGGCTACTTGGATCGGAAGTTTTATTGTATCTTTTAGGTACATACCAGACTTTAAGCTGACACACAACTTGAGGGCTACTAGCTATATATTTCGGCAGAGAGTAAATTGCACTAATAAAAAATAATTCCGTGAAAAGTCGGGTTGCGTAAACTAGCTTGTCGTAAATTTTTACCCTGGAGTCCGGTCATCTACATCGTCAACTGAAGGCCGAGGTGGTGCACACCTCTATGGAAGCAGGCCGACATAGAGGCCGACTGCGAGCGGCTGACTGGATGACAGACTTTTCCCACATGCTGCTCGACCGTGCTCCTTCTATATTTTCAAAACTGAGGCGATCTTCGTCACCTCGGATGCTGTCCGGCATCGGAGCTCAGCTGCAAGAGGACATAGGTCAGGGGGAAGTTCTCGTTGAACCAGTTTCAATAACAGCAACCAAAGATGACAAGCAGCTCGGATAGGCCGAGGTGTGGTGAGACTTGAAGACCAGTCTAGGGGGCCTCTCACCAAGTCGACTCCTAACCAGTTGGGCTAGGTTGAGGGCCTCCCTATCGGTTCCGTCCTGGTCCACTTTAGGCCGCCCATGGCAATCTACAAAGAAAATCAAGAAGTCTTAAGGTTCAAGATAAGGACTCCTTATTCGTGGAGAACTCCTCACCACTGATGTAGCTGACTAGGACTCCTGTAATACTAGACCTCTAGCAAATTATACTCCCTCCGTCCTAAAAAAAGTGGTCCAGACCGCTCGGCGAACCGATACAAGCCGGAGTTGAATGGCAAGGTCCGGACGTATTCCGGCAGTTTGAGAGTCGGTGTTGGAGATGCCCTTAGTGTATTTTCCCGGTTATTTATCAAAATATAAAAGTTTGTATTTTCAAAATCAAATGTATGTCTTGAAAGCCAGCACGGGGAGCTTTCAAGACTGCTTTTGTTTAACTCAACCAAAGCTTCAGTCTAATAAATGAGTTTGACTCTATTTATCACCGTGATAGTAGAGTATATTATCTTCTTCTATCTAGTGTATTGATTAGTAGCGAGCTACACATGCTTCTTTTATTGACTCTATTATTAGAGCATCTTCTTCCTCCCGATCGAACGCACTCATCGGCATGGCTTCCAGAAATCCAGATCCAAATAGCGACGACCTCCGGCTCCGATCTTGAGAGAGGAGGCAGCTCGACACCCTCAACACAGAGGAGGTGATCCAGCTTGTCGACGGAATTGGCGTCGGCGACGCTAACCAGTACTGCCGGTGATGTCGTTGACGCCCATTGATACAGCCCACGTCGATGCCGATCACGAGGGTGGGCGACTATCACGATGAAGACACGAAGCCTAAGCGCGCTGCTCGGCCCCCAGGATGCCGATGTCATCCCAGTGGCCAGGGTGGGCAACTGCCCGCTCCGGTCCTCCTCGTGCCATGGCAACAACGACGGGAGAGGAGGCTTCCAGTTCCAGCACGAGGAGATCGGCAGCTTCAGCCTCACCATTCTCTTGCCGGAGACCCGGACAACATCACGCACGCGCGTCGCCGGGAGTCCGGGGCCACGGGCTACGTCGCTGCTGAGCGTGGCACGGAACGGGGGTTGTCGCCGCCGAGTGCTCCATCCTCCATGTAGGCGAGGAGCTGCTGCCCACGGCGAACGGCAGGGTGTATCTTCCGTGCCCGACTCCATGTTGACACACGACGGCGAAGAGGTGTGGGTCGAGGATGCCAAGACCGATGATGAGAGAAGACCGATGCCGGCGTGCCAGCTGACTCCGCTTCCTCCTCCGCACAGGTACCTACCGCCGGGATCCATTATTCCCTTAGTAGTTAGTACTACATGCCTTGTTGTAGCCCACCATACTGCACCATGGCATGCCGCGCGCGTACAACCATGGCTTCCAAGGGAGCTCGATCTCTCCCTCGTCTTATAGAAGAAGAAGATGAAGTTGCTAGAGTCTTTTCTTCTTTCTTTTTTCTTTGCAACCAAGGCTTCCTAGCTAGCTAGAGTAGATGTTTTTTTTAACACAGTACAAATGCAGACGTTTATACATTCGCACATACACTACCCTATAAACACATGCAGACACATTCTAATCATATGAACACCTCCGAAAAACTGACCCGGCACATCGTTGCTACACATATCAGATTCAAATTGAATAAACATAAAAGGTGAGCTCATATGTAGGCCCAACAATCTTCACAAATAAACAAATGCACTTTTATCCGTATATGATAGTTGCAATTTAAAAAAAAGGATAAATACATTTAGTGGACAGGCTCCAAGTAAGAGGAAGAGGGAGATTTGAGAGTGGGTGGGCTGGGTCGGCCCCGCCTAAGGAGGAGATGGCAGTCCGAGGACGATGAGGAGGGTGTTGACGGTTACGGTGAAGAAATTGAAGGATATGCTTTAGCGGATGCATATTCTAAATTCTAAACAAGAGGCGACGACCTTGATATATACGCTTTCTGTATTCTTCACATCTCAATTTCTATTAACAGGCAGAGTACTCTCAAAAGAATTCTTAAGGTGAAGAGACCTCAACGTTTACATATACAAAGGACTCTAGAAAATTTTATTTAATAAACATAAAAAGGAGATAATGGAGTATGAGTCTTCTCATCGCCCAAGATGAACTATATTAAGGAATCATCCCCATATCGCCGCTAGCTAGTGTACAAGAAGTCGTCGAAGGGGGACTGCGTCCATGAGTTATTCTCTTCTGCGAGGTAATTGGTGTACCAGGAGTGTCCAGAGTTGTTCCCATCCACGCTGGTGCCGCCGGTCACAGGCTGCATCGCTTCTTGGTCCTTGTTGGCCCCATCAGCGAGAATCTGCATCTCTCCATTGCCCTTGTCGTCACCATTGGTGAGGAACTGCTTCTCTCCCTCATCAGTGTCAACACCATCGACCTCGGACTCGATCTGTATGGGGTTCTGGTATGTGCCCATGCCACCGAACGCGAGCTGCATCATATCCTCGGACTCAGCCTGGACTTGTATGGGATCCTTGGCTGTCCCGATTCCGTCGAGCATAGACTGCATGAGATCCTGAACCGAGTCGACGCCGCCAAGCATGAACTTGTTCAGATGCTTGTTCGAGCTTGTGCTGCAGGAACCGTACTCCATCATAGCCATGTCCGTCTCGACACCACCAAGCACGAAATGCTTCGGATCCTTGCCCAAGTCGGCATCGCCACACACATACTCCATCGGATCCTTGCCTATGTCGATGACACCGGGCACGAATTGCGTTAGATCCTCATCTGTGTCGACATCACCGGACGCATTCGTCGACGGGGACGCCATGTTCTTGTTGAAGACCCGACACAACGCGTATGTGTCCTGAACAAATCAATCATGCAGGTGTATGTGAGGCGTGGAGCTCAATTACTATATCAACAAAAGAAGAAGAAAAATGAAGATACCTGTATGTGGTGGCTGTGGAGACGGTACTCGTGCATGACCCAGTCGGTCCGCGTGCCGCTAGGCGCTTTGCCATTGTGGAACACAAGCGTCTTCTTCATGCCGACGACGATGCCGTTGTGCATGACAGGGCGGTCCTTCCCGGTGGACTTCCAGAACCCTCTGGGCGTCGCCCGTTCCATGCGAAGCCCGGTTGGGTACTTCCGCCCCCTCGGCGCGAACATGTACCACTCAACTTTGGCCCCAGGGTCGCCTGTGCTCGGTGAGAATGAAATGCCTGTGCGCTCATGCAGGTGAAAACACATGTCAGTTGACATATACTATACTTGACTTGGAAAGAAAAATCAACTTAATTGCTGCTAGCTAGTAAAATGTAAAAGGAAATCAAGTAAATTTTCATATATATTGCGGCGATCTTCCGTACAAAACAGGCCTAAATTCAACTGATGCGGTTTTTCTTTTTGTGTGAGGTGTAACCTCCTTTTCAAAAAAAAGGGTTAGTTTGTTATGAAAAGATTGGTGCTCCGAAATGGTGAAAAACATCATGAAAATCAAGTTAACACCGCAGCGATCTCTTTCCGCAAAAAAAAAAAGAAAAGAAAAAAAGAGAAGATTTGAAACAGGTGACCGCCGCATATATATATATATATACATATATATATACCTGGTAGGTGGTGGGGTTGGAGCTTGTAGAGGTCCACCTCCGGGATGAAGCAGCCGCCGTGTCGCAGGACCTTGCGCCGGAGGTAGAAGCTCACGAGCTCCTGATCGGTGGGGTGGAAGCGAAAGCCCGGCAGGGGATGAGAGAAGGCGCGGTCCATCTCCGCCGTGGCCGCCCGTACTGAAACGCCCGCCATGGCTGCCTGTCACTCGATCTCCTTTGGGCGATGGATGGATGCGTGCGCCGGCCGGCCGGCCTTGTGACGACACGACCGACTGACTGCGAGAAGAAAAGTTAAGCTTGTGATATGAGCACGTAACGCAACGCAACACAAGGCAGCAATCGGAAATGGAAATGGAAATGGATCCGAGCTGCTATCTATCCCATATTCCCATCCCATGACGAGAGAGAACCACCACAGGTGCCGGAGCTCAATTGAGAGAGAAATAGATAGAGATAGAGCGAGAGGGAGAGGGAGAGAGAGAGAGAGAGAGAGATAGTTGAGACCTGATCCAATTGAGGTGGAGATGAGACGGAGAAGCGGCGACGGAGCACTTGACTGACTACACCATGGCAAAGAGAAGAGATGGAGAGAGAAAGGGAGATGTATATATAGGCACAAGGCAGGAGCAGGCACACGTACGGTGGTACCTCGATCCTATCGATCCGTGGACGCCTTTGTGGCGACACCCATGCTTGCTTGGCACCTTTGTGGCGACACCGTGGACGCCTTCCCAGATCCAGTTGTAAGCCTCTGCTTGCTTGACTGCTTGGGACCAACGGAACCTTCCGGAGCATCCTTAGAGAAGCAAGTCAACAGATAATAATCCTATTGCACGTACCACAAGTCCGCTACTTCTGAGTTTAATTACCCGGAATCGAATCATGATTTGGTTCAGCGCACACCATAAATTTCACTAAATATATATCGACTATTATATACTATACCTCCGTCCTGGTTTATTGATCTCTTTTGTAATTTGTTCCAAATTTTGACCGAATATTTAATTAACAAAATGTTAATGCATGTCAACAAATATTATGTCGCTGGATTCGTATTCGTATTTAAACATATTTTTCAATGATATAATTTTTTATGACATGCATGAATTTTTGGTTAGTTAAATTTATTGTCAAAATTTGGCACGAAATACAATGGGACCAATAAACTAGGACGGAGGTAGTATATTATACTACAAAAATAGATAAATTAACTAGAAAGCAACACGATAATAAGAAATATTAATACCGTTAATTTGAGAAACTATGTTAATGATTACCGGGGGATGTTGACCCTGACATTCCGCAAAAGAAAAAAAAGTTAATGATCACCGGCGAATGTTGAAACAGAGGTTGAAGTCAGAATCTCACGTTAATCAAAATCATCCGACCATTAGCTTTACCAACTAAGTTAATGATCACCGACGGACAAGGATTGCATCCCGATACTCGAAATGCCTCGAATTGGTAGGGAGCGACGTGTCTTGTGATGCCCTCAACGCGGCGACGCGTGGTGAGGATCCCACGCTCGCCTCGCAGCTTCCATCCAGCCGTTGATTCGCTACGCGATGCCAGTGGATGTGACCCTCTCATATTTTTACATCTAGTAGTAGTTATTAAAATAACTTAATATGGATGTATCAAGTCACGTTTTAGTATTAGATAGGACGTTTTTTGGTACTAGTGTAGTGTCAAAAAACGTCCTACATTATAGGACGGAGGGAGTAGTAATAGTTTAGCATGTGGGGCCAACATAAATTGTTATACAACTGCAAAAAAAAATGTTATACAACTGCAAAAAAAATTGTTATACAAATGTATTGAATTTAAATTAATCCTGAATGTATATATGCAGTTTCAGTTTCATAATTAACTTGTTGTTCATTTATTTTCGTCATGGTATATACGTATTTGATTTGCATTGTGAGGATGGCTGCCGCGCGTGAGGCGACGGTGAGGGCGTTGAAGTCGTTGACGTGCACCATCGAGTCATCGTAGTCGTTTGTGTCGGCATCTTTTAATTAATAACAAGAGATCGCCGGCACGCAGCAGGTTTGGTCGGCGGCAAACTGCACGTGTCCCTCGCTCGCACAACGGCCAAGTGCACGCGCCCGCGGCTCGCTCGCCAATCATCGTGGCGTCAGCCAGCGATGAAGCTCCGGCCGGCGGCGGAAGCTGCTGCTCGGTTGGCTCCTTCGGTCGATCGTAGCAATGGGTAATCTTCGAGGGCAGAGCAGGAGAAAACTGTCCACGCATTGCCCAACGTGCGTATTGACATTGCTCATCACTGAGTTTATTAAGGACAGCACGCACCACACCTGTGCCTATTCATGAGTGGTTAATTTGACTAACCCTATTTTATTTTATTTTTTGCGTGGAAAAAGTGAATTTTATTCCTTAGAATCACTGATTCTACGATTTTAGTTCTTAAAATCTACGTTTCAACCATTCTGATAGTGAAGATTCTACAATTTGCGATCCTACCATCGAAGCTCCGATCCAATTCAAAATCGCGATTCTGACAACCTTGCCGACAACCAACGACATCCACCATTGGCGAGTATAAAAAATTGACAGTTAGGGGCGAGGGGTTAATCGTGTATAAATGAGTGATTTAGCTCGAAAGTAAGTCCCCTGAAGTAAAAAATAAAATAGGGTTAGTCAATTTCGATTGCCAAGGAAGGACGTGATGGTGTGCAGCATCGACGCCGTAGATGGCAGGGCCGGGGTAAGGGCATCTCCAGCGGTTCAACCATCAGGACGCCGAAATATAGCCGCCTGGGGCCGAACCGGCGCTGGCTTGGCGCCTGGGGACGACTATGGTCCCAGTCAACATCCCCAGGTCGCTGCCAAAATTGCGTGTATTCGGCGATATTTTATCCAAATTTCGACTAACTCGGCGATCTGGCACACACTCCGCGACACTTCATCAAAATTTATACAAAAACAGATGAACATGCAAACTACGCCTATCCCTGCTACGCCGCGGCCACAGCCCGCCATCTACATGCCAAGAAGCCTATAGAAACGGGTGTAGTTGCTGCCGTCATCGTCGCACGCCTCGCCGGAGCCGCCACCGTCCCTACTGCACCCCTAGCCAGGGTCGCCGACGCGCGGTGAGGGATTGGACGGGCCGGCCCCGTTCTCCTCGTCGCTGTCGAGGACGATGATGCCACCCTCCTCGCGTCCGCGGCGCCGGGCCTGGAGCTCCTTGTATGCCCTTCGCTGGCGGAGCACCTCCTCGCGGACGTAGTCCTCCCTTGCCCACTTGAGGACGGCCTCGTCGTCGGGGGCCACCATGTCCGCATGCTCCGGCTTCACGGGGACCAGCTGAGGGAGTCCTGGACTAGGGGGTGTCCGGATAGCCAAACTATTATCATCGGCCGGACTCCAAGACTATGAAGATACAAGATTGAAGACTTCGTCCCGTGTCCGGATGGGACTTTCCTTGGCGTGGAAGGCAAGCTTGGCGATACGGATATGTAGATCTCCTACCATTGTAACCGACTCTGTGTAACCCTAGCCCTCTCCGGTGTCTATATAAACCGGATGACTTTAGTCCGTAGGACGAACAACAATCATACCATAGGCTAGCTTCTAGGGTTTAGCCTCCTTGATCTCGTGGTAGATCTACTCTTGTAACACACATCATCAATATTAATCAAGCGGGACATAGGGTTTTACCTCCATCAAGAGGGCCCGAACCTGGGTAAAACATCATGTCCCTTGTCTCCTGTTACCATCCGCCTAGACGCACAGTTCGGGACCCCCTATCCGAGATCCGCCGGTTTTGACACCGACACCAGCCCCGGTTCGGGCTTCGGCCGGACCAAGCAAAGGAAGCGCGGGGAGGGGCTGGCACCCTCATTGATGACGAGGGTGCCGCTGCAGGTGCGATATCTCTTCCGGCTCCGGCTTGACGGGGCAGAGCACCGATGAGCCGAAGGAGAGCGAGCCAGAGCCCGACGAGGAGGATGCCCCCAGCTCCATTCGCCCGGCATCCAGGAGCTGCTGCAACGGCGAGAGAAGGTTGGCCGTGGCGGGTACTCGAGGCGTGGCGTGTTACCAGCCTCGATGTGGTCGAGGACGACCTCGAAGAACAGTCGACGAAGCTGAAATATTATTGAATAATATGTTGACTAATGAAAATAATTGGACTCTTCCCGAGCCAGTTCCTGAAGTAATTCCTGAACCAGTTGAGCCAACTCCTGAGCCTATTCCTAAACCCACTCCGAAGAAGAGAGGTGTTTTATTTCTCAGTCCTGAAGATATGCAAGAGGCAAAGAAATCAATTAAAGAAAAAGGTATTAAAGCTGAAGATGTTAAGAATTTACCTCCTATTGAAGAAATACATGGTCTGAATATACCGCCTGAAGAACTACATTGTCTTGATAACCGGACACAGGTAGTGAAGGTAAATTCTCTCTATAGATACGATAAAGTCGAAATACCCTCTACTAAATTTCATAGCTCATGCTTAGATGAATTTGATGACTTTATGGATAGACAAGAAAGTTTTAATGCTTATGTTGCTAGAGAGTTAAAGAATAATTCTTTCGAGATAGGACGCGTAGGTGATAATCTGGCTAGAGTTAAAGATGAACTTCACCGCGTTAGCAAATATGCTTCTATGGTTGCTACTCGAGCTGAGCAAGTACTCAAAGCTCAAAATGATTTGCTTGATGAATTGAATAATAAAAATGACTTTGCTGTTAGAGTGGCTATTAGAGCTGGTAGAATGACTCAGGAACCTTTGTATCCTGAAGGCCACCCTAAGAGAATCGAGCAAGATTCTCAGACAAATAATTTAGAGGCACCTAGTTCTTCTAAAAAGAAGAAGAAGAAAAACGATAGAACTTTGCATGCTTCAAGTGAACCTACTGTAGACACACCTGCGAATCCAAATGATATTTCTATTTCTGATGCTGAAACGCAATCAGGTGATGAACATGAACCTAGTGATAATGTTAATGATAATGTTCATGTTGATGCTCAACCTAGCAAAGATAATGATGTAGAGATTGAACCTGCCGTTGATCTTGATAACCCACAATCAAACAATCAACGTTATGATAAGAGAGATTTTGTTGCTAGGAAGTGCTGGAATTTAGTCTATATTGGGGCAGCCTAATAACTATTTCAGAAAGTCCTAATAAATCCTAGAGGCCCACTTAGCCAATTTGTGCAAGGCAAGGG